GAATTGATGATATTGCAGAGGGCACCTTCCTGGAGCTGGATGTGGCTGTATGAGAAACCAAGAATTTCCTTCTATGTTATCACCACTTTGCTAACATGTGCTTATTAGTGGAATTTGTATGACTCAAGCATTAATGGACAACATCATTTATTCTGAGCTTTCCTTTAGAGTTCAAATGTGTTTTATAATTACTTTTTTTTTTTTTTTTTTTTGAGACAGAGTCTCACTGTGTTGCCCGGGCTAGAGTGCCGTGGCGTCATCCTAGCTCACAGCAACCTCAAACTCCTGGGCTCAAGCGATCCTTCTGCCTCAGCCTCCCAAGTAGCTGGGACTACAGGCATGCACCACCATGCCTGGCTAATTTTTTCTATGTATTTTTAGTTGTCCGATTAATTTCTTTCTATTTTTTTAGTAGAGACGGGGTCTCGCTCTTGCTCAGGCTGATCTTCAACTCCTGAGCTCAAACAATCCGCCCACCTCGGCCTTCCAGAGTGCTAGGATTACAGGCATGAGCCACCGCGCCTGGCCTAATTACTTTTCTTATTTTGTTAATTTACATCTTAATTAGGAGGAGTTGCAAAGAAAGGTGTTTTTGCTTTCTTTTTATTGGGGCAAATATTTGGAGTTTTTTCATGACTAATGATTTTTTATAGTTGATTTGGGAAAATAAAACTCTTTATACACAAAGGAAATCATCTACAGGAATATCTAAATGTTTTATGGACCAGTGATTAATGACAGGGAAAGCTACAGGGTAACATTGACATGATCCTGAAAGGAGTAGGGCAAAGAATGTTGTAAGGAGGCCAGTTCTTGGGAACTTGTGCTATGTTTCCATTTCTTAATGAGTTTGCAAATAACAGAGGGAAGCTTTTATGATGGTGGAGACATCATACGGAGTCACACAGAATGGGAAGACAGTGCACAGCATTAGAAAAAGATTAAAGTTCTCAATCTGCTTCTGCTACTAACTAGCAATGTGCCCCTGGGGTTGTCACCTAACCTATTCTGAGAGTCATTCTCTTTATCTTGAAAGCAAGTGCATGTAACATGCTCTTTTTGTCATTTCAAAATATTAAGGGGGTACAAATGTTTTTGTTACATGAATAGCACTGTAATGCTTGAGTTAGGGCTATAAGTGTGCTCATCACCCAAATAGTGTTCATTGTACCCATTAGGTAGGTTTTTGCCCTTCCCCTACTCCTCCCTCTCCTCTGCTAGATTTACAGTGACTTTTACTTTCCTCTGTGCATGTGTGTGCCCCTCAGTTAGTTCTGATATATTAGAGAGTTCACACAGTGTTTGTTTTTCCATTCTTGAGATACTTCACTTGGGATAATGGTCTTCAGTTCCATCTAAATTGCTGCAAAAGGCATATATTCATTCTTTTTTATGGCTGAGTAGTATTCCATGGTATACATATACCACATTTTGTTAATCTACTCATAAACTGATTGACACTTGGGTTGATTCCAAATCTTTGCAATTGTGAATTAAGCTGCAATGAACATTCAACAGCAGGTGTCTTTTTGATAAAAATGACTTCTTTTCCTTTGGGTAGACACCCAGTAGTGGGATTGCTGGGTTAAATGGTAAGTCTACATTTATTCTTGAAGAATATTCATACTGTTTTCCATAGAGGTTGTACTAATTTGCAGTACCACCAACAGTGTATAAGAATTCCTTTCTGCAACCATGTCACTATTTATTGTTTTTGGACTTTTTAATAAAAGCCATTCTAACTGTGGTAAGGTGATATCTTACTGAAATTTTAATTTGCATTTCCCTGATGATTAGTGATGTTGAACATTTTTAAAGTGTTCATTGGCTGTTTTTCTGTCTTATTTTGAAAAACTTTTGTTCATGTTTTTTGCCCATTTTTTAATGTTTTTTTTTTTCTTTTTTTCTTCTTGCTGATTCTTTTGAGTTCTTTGTAGATTCTGGATATTTTCCCTTTATTGGATGTATAGTTTGTGAATATTTTCACGCATTCTGTAGGTTGTCTATTTGCTCTGTTGATTTCCTTAGCTGTGCAGACTCTTAAGGTACTTTTCAGCTTTCAAATAGGAAAAAAACAAATGTCTCCACATAGGGTTACATTTTTAACACTGATTATAATTTGAAAGGTAAATTTGGGATATTGGAAAAATTAGGCATGGTTTATAATAACACTCTAAAAAGTAGTCAAGACCATTTGGGAGTTAGCTGAGCAAAGTCCCAGGCCTGGCTTTGAAACAATCAGTGACTTTGGGCAACTTTCTGAATTTCTCTAAGGATTAGTTTTATTTTTTGTATCTGCCTGTTGGGCTAGATTGTCATTGAGTTTTCTATCAACAATATTTGTTATTCTCTTTGCTTTTTTTCCAGGAAAAATTACTCAAAGAAATAAGCCGAGTATCTAAATAAATATACAGTACCCAGTTTAAAAACAGTTCTTGAGGAGTTCTGACAAAGATATGCCAGGATGAGTTAACATACAGGTGCTTCTCATGAGGTTTATTCCAAAAAAACTTGCCCCATTTGAACGATTTATCAGGCTTTATGAAAACTAAACATAAATCAAAAACCTTAGGTAAAATCAATTCTTATTTTCTACACATCTTTAACAACTAAGAGTGGGTGAAGTGTGGGGAAGAGAAGAGGTATGAGGCAGGTAGCTTATACCAATTGAACAAACTAGAGAACTGAGACAGTTATGAAATGCTTACATATTTATGGCCAATATAATACAAATTACGAATGAACTATTGAAGACAAAGACTCTTTATCAACCATTTATCTTTTCCTTTCAAAATGTAATGCATTGAACTTGAAAGAGCTAGAAATATTTTATTTGATGGAAACATACAAACAAATGACAGTTTAGATATTATTTTTAAAGTGCTACCATCATTATAATTTTAATCAGATAAATCTATTTATTATTAATATCATTTACATTATAATTTGTTTGTCTAAATTCTAATTACAATAAAGTATGTCATGTTTTATTTTTATCAAATAGTTTTCATATTGAAAGTGAAAGAAACAGAAAAGCACTCAGAGGAAAAATAATGCTATATCCAAAAGTATTATTTCAGAAATTTCTTTTGACATCATATCCATATTAAGATATTTTATTAGTCTCCACAATACTTCTATGAAATATCAGACCATATGTCTTGCAGTCCCTATTTTACTTGTGGAGAAATAAACAAAGTATGTATAAGTAAATTTTCCAAGGTCACACACTGTGTCAGAATAGCACTGGAAGCAAAATTTATCACTGTATTTTTCTTATACAGTCAAGTGCCTAACTCAGTGCCCTAGAAAGAGTAAGTGCTCAATAAATAGACATTGAATGAAAGAATTAATGGATAAACCATTGGGTTCTATGAAATCTAAAACAACTGTCATATTTGCTTTCTATTTATTTGATCAATAAGTTGAACAGACTGGAGGAGCAGTTGAGCAATAAACTTTACCCACTGTCTACCCACAAGTTTACATTGCCACATGAAGGCACTTTGCAAGATGATACCATCTGATCAGTCTTGAAATTACACACTTCCATGTTGTCCCTCCTCCCCCATAAAGAGTATCATTAATCTGGTTCATTGTAACATTGGCTTTTGTGGTGTGAATTAGGTCCACCAGCATCTGGCTGATGATCAACTTCTTTCACAAAAGTCACTGAAAATCCACTATTAATAATGAATGTATTACTGATGCTCTAGCCTAATGATTTTTAGTGAAACTGTTCTATATCTTGGTCCTAAAGAACCATAGTTAGTTGCAGTCCTTGAAAATAAATCATTTGGCTAGTATTGGCTCTGGTTATCTCAGACCTTGTGGAAGATAATTATGATGCCAGCAAGGGTAACTCAATTTATTTCCTGAGTTAACTGTCATAAGTTCAGTTGCAACTGTAAACATGATAAAGGTCACAGAGGCGTGACTTTTAGAGTTGATAAAAAATGTGGTAAAGAACATAAGTATTTATATCACTAGGAAAATGACAAAACCATATGGTCATTCCCAGTGACATATCATCAAGTAGGTTAAAAATTGTCATCCATTTCATTGGTACCAATGACCAATGACCTAAAATACAAGTAAGACATCTTATGAAGGTATTTATGGTTAAAATGTCTTCCTTAGACTTTGATGGCATTCATATTTTGCCATTTTGAGAAAGAATGCATTAAAGCAAAATGAAAATATTTTTGCATCTGTCACTCAAATTTAGTGATTGATATAAAAGTTCACCCAGGTGACATTTTCATTAGGACATAGTCTGGAGAAGTCTGAAAATAACACATATCATTTGCCTATATTTTAAACAAATGATTCACTAGACCTGCCTAATTGGGTGGTGTATTTCCACTGGAGTAAATGTCCTGATTGTAATTCAAGACAAATCTTAGAGATAAGATTACTCAAACATTTATTCTCTGTAGTGTAATATCTGAAGTTCAGAGATATTTTGAGCTTTAAAAGAGTATCACAAGAAACCTATAGCACTCTTTGGTGCAATTGTTACCCATTCTTAGAGCATAGCCACAACTAAAATAGAAACAGGCATAAGTAAAATGAAACTATTAAGCATCAACTTATTGAGTAAATTGAGTCCAGATACCCAGAAGATGCATTAGAGTGTAGTCCATGTTATCATTAAAAACGTAAATATCTAGCTGAATCCAGGAATTTTACTTTGTAATTGTGTCAATTATGCATTTAAAGGAGCATTATAAGTAAACTTTAAATTAATTTCTGTGCACAAGCACCCCTACACAGCAACAAACACACATAACAGATTCTTGAGCATCAGACACTTCAACATGTCTGCTAATCATTCAATCTTTTTGCCTACCCTTTCTCTCTATACCAGGCTGAAGTGTAAAACATTTTCACAGAAATTCTCTGGATTGCATGATTTCAATTGCCTATGCCACTGTGGACAAAACAAAACATCTCACTTTCAAAATCTTAAAGCACTTGTAAGGATCATGCATGTGTGTCTATTGTCCTTGTTGTTTCTGTCCTGGAGAATTTCCATGGCCAGCGCGCTCTCCAGGGTGGTGTGCGGGAGTGACAGGAAACTGAAATCCATAGCCATTATACCCATCCAAGTAGACACATTGGAAGAAACTGATGGGACCTAAGGAAGAGAGCATGAGGATTTGTTAAACCAAGCAGAATGTGATCAGGAAGGCAGTTAAAGCACAGTGAAGCAGTATAGTGCCGCAGATAGGGTCATAGATTCTGCAGTCAGAGAGCCTCCGTAGAAATGGGCAAGTTACCAGACCCTGCTGTGTCTTGGATTCTTCATGTATGAAAACAAAACAACAAAATCTCACAGAAATATTGTGACAATTAAATGAGTTCACATGTGTGAAGCCCTTAAAATTCTCCCTGATACATAATAAGTCCTTAATAAATGATAATAAAAATGACCAGGCAGAGAAAGTCAAAGTGCTTAGTGTATAGAAATCTATGGATGTGCATAGCAATCGAAAGACTGTTACTCTATTACATAGTAACACGTTTCAAAACATGAATGTTAATTAGATTATTAATACCCAAAGTAACAAACTTTTGTGTGGGTGTCTTTTATAATGTCACAGAGAGCCTTGTGGTTCCTAAAGTCTTGAGGTTTTCTTACTTGCCTTTACTCTGGAGGCAAGAACTCTATCGAGATGGCCTAATTACTCTTTTAGCCTATAGTACTCTCAGGTAGGAGCTCCGAGTAAAAGCAACACAGCAAAGTCAAAGCTGAGCAAGGGTGTGTGGCACAGTGAATATGACCATGAACTGCGGGCTTAGTGAGCTGGTGCTCCCAGGTAGCAGTTTTGTTAAGAGAGGGTGAGGTCAACGTCTCTTCACAATCACGGGCGCCTATTGACTCTTCACTGTTTTCATCATATCCATTTGCATTTCATCAGCCAACCACAGACTTTTTGCAGAAGACCAGGGAAGAAAGAACAATTGAAGCTAGTGCTATGTGGGAGATGGAAAAGATGGCCAAATCCGTATGAGAGTAAGGGCTTATGAAGTAGAACAAAATGAAGCATGGGTAGATGGAGCTGAGAAAAGCAACAAGAGAGTAAGTATTCTGATTCCACCACCTTGGATGGTACCTGACCTTAGTCACTGGGTTTTCAGAGATGAAAGTAGTCTGGAGAAATCTTGAATTTAGCTCTTTTCCTTTCCACTAAATCTCACCCAGAAATATTTTCTCTTTTGTTCTAACTTCCAATAGAGGCAGTGACACAATGCCCCTCCCCTCCAGGCTGTGGAGGTTGTGGGAGCTTGGGGGAGTTGAGGGGCTACAGAGAGAGATGGCAATAAAGCTGGGACTGCATCGAGGAGAAGTGGCAGCACCAGTGTTAAAAGTATTAGAGCCCATCAATGACAGAATCCCTTCCAGCTGAACCTTATCGAGGTGGACACTGTTCTGATGCATTTATTTAATTGATGTTGAATAAACTATTAATATAAATATCATTATGCCTGCAAATTTGAGAGCTGACATAAAAGGCTCATGAATATCAGGCTACAGAACTACTTCATGGTAAGATGAAAACAGGAAATGTTCTTTTGATGCAATAAATCTCCCAACTGAACTTAAAATATCTGATACCTTTTTATTAAAATTATTTAATTATTTTATTCATTTTAGTTAAAATTTTTATTTTGAGATAATTGTATATTCACATATCATTGTAAGAAATAATACATATAGATACCATGTACCTTCACCCAGTTTCCCCCAATGATAACATCTTATGAAACTATAGTATAATATCCCAACTAGAAAATTGGCATTGATACAATCCATCTATCTTATTGAATTGTGTTTTAATATTTATTCATGAAATAAGAGATTTAGAGTGTTTATATGACATAGTCACAAATTATTACCAGTAGGTTAACAAATGGGAAAATGTTATTTTATAAATCAAAAACATGCCCAGACTGATTTATAATTATTTTTCTTATGGATTTTGCAATAATATCTAAAAGTATTATAAGATTCTGGGCAATTCCCTATATTTTCACAACCTTATTATATAAAGGGTTATAATGAGTATAACTTATATCTGGTCCAGTAGTTCCAGCATTTAAAGCAGTACTTGAAACATATTAGGCACTCAGTATTTGTTTAATGAATTAACTATTAACACAAAATAGGAGGCGTTTGCTATTGTAAATAATATCTTGGTAATTTTCTGCACAAATCCATGTAAGAAACATTGCAGAACCTAGAGATATCAATTCTTCAGATTGATGTCTTTACTTTACTTTAAAAGCATTATTTGAAACAAACATCAGTTATAAATAAGTTATAAACTTATTTCAAAAATTGCTTCCTTTACTCTGTCCTGTAATGATTTTATTTAATGCACATGTGAATCCAAAATTTATTACTTTACCATTTGAACAAAAATGTCTAATTTGGAAGACTTGAAATAATGAGAATCTTGGACAATGAATTTTGTAACTGCAGGACTATTTATTGCATTCTAAAATAAATGATCCCAAAGATTGAATATTAAGAGCCTACTGTACATCAAGAAAAATCAAAAAGTACTTTGAATCTTACAAGTGAGTTTCCAAGCAATTGAATTATTAAAACCTATTTCTTCATTTTTTGTACTTGATCTAAAAAAGTTTAGCATATTACTTCAGCTGTCCTTTCATAAAGCAGACAGTAACCCATGTTTAAGCATAGATTCAGTTGTAGTTAAGGACCAGAACTGTGTAGAATGGTTGGCGATAAACGCCACTTCAGCCATCACTTGTAATTCCTGCAACTATGTGCCTCTCTTGCCTGACACAAAAAATTGGTGAACTTCTCTTTAAAATATAAACGACCAACTTTAATATCATTCTTCATGTCTGTGCTAAAAATCTTTTTCTTCTAATACTAATCTTAAGAGAATCAGAAGTATAAATTTACATGTAATGTCTTTAATGTAGAACAATTTAGAAATTTTAACTAATTATAAACTTACTTTTTTGCTTCTTTGTGGAAGATACATCTTCAGTTTCTTCTAGTGGATACAAAAATATGAAAGTAAATAACTTGTATGTTTATAGGTATTATATAAATATGTATGGGAGTGAGAATATCTAACCAGGAGCACAATATGAAAGAAACAGGAGGCTTTTACCCTTTTTATAGTACACTTTAGATTTTTATACAGATTATATTCATACTGTCACTATAAAATGTAACGGAAGATGAGCCAATGGAAAAAATGGCATGCTACAGGCAATTGTTCCAACAGGAAAACTGGCGCCAACGTGTTGAATATTGATTGACAAATGAGGACTAGCTGGCATACATTCTTTTCTTTGATGCTCACAATTACAACATGATAAGGGTGGAATCTGGCTATAAGATGAACATTTTAGGCAGAAGAGTTTTAAATTTGGAGGGACATATGTTTTTAGTGATCATCCTTGCCATGAAAGTATAGCAGCAGCCTGTCCTGTATCCTTTCCTTTTCACATCTGACTCAAGCACATTTTATTTATTTCTTTGCTGTAGTATCATATGCCATGAGTTTATCTAATGGTAGATAATTTGAAGCTATCCCTTTGTATCCCTTTCTTGAGCTTAGAAGTTCTTAATTGGTATTTGTGGATGAGCTTTTTGGGATTTTTTTTTTCCTGGAAAACTCTGAAATGATAAGATGATGTGAGTGAGTGTGTGTCGTGTTTGTGTGTGTTTCATAGAAAGTAGATTTATAGATTTTATCAAATTTTCAATGGATTCTGGAGCCTTGCCCCTCAAAGTGGGATCCATGTACCAATAGCTTCAGCATCACCTAAGAGATTTATATAAATGCAGATTCTTAGGTTTCAACTGAGACATTTCAATAGGATCTACAAGTGATCTGTATATACATTAAAGATTAGAATCACTGGTCTAGGAGCCAAAAACATATTAAGTGTTGCTGTCCTTAATAATTTAATTAAAAATCTAAAAATCCAATATTCAAAAAGGTATCTTAATAAAAGTATAAATCTCAACTTTTATCTCACAAGACTTAGGTAACCATTACCCTGTGTCCTTTTTGAAAGTACTGTTTTCCACAATGTTACTTAATTTGGGACACTGGCAGAGAACTCTCACTTTTATGGCAAGAACAGCTCTTAGGCAGACTTTTATTGTCTATAGGTAAGTTTAGAAGTGGAATAGAATATAAAATACATACTATTATAAAATACATACTATTATACATACAATATAAAATACATACTATTTTATACCAAACCCAAATTAGGAAGCAAGTTAGTTTAAAAATCAAGTTAGTTTAAATCCTCACTTTACACATAGAGAAATTTTTTCCTGGAAAGACCTTATCAAGATCACACATCTGGAGATAGGTTTTTCTAAGTGCCTATGCTTTGTTGCGGGGGTATGGTGAGTCCCTTCCTACTTTCCTTCCTTCCCCACTTCTTTCCATTATGATAATGCTGCTAATATCAATGACTTACCTCATTTTTTCTTAATACAAACATGACATTCTTGTAATCCTTAATGAAATAATAATTTTGAAGTATTGCTCCTGCAGATTGCCCAATAAATGTTTCTGATAATTACTTATAAATGAATCAATGCCCAACTAATGTCTTCAATGTGTAAGGAGATATATATTTTCTAAATAGTTTTAAAAAGCTGTTCATTTAAAACATAAATCGACCATGTAAATATTGGTTAGAAATACTGAGGAGTAGATCAAGAATAGTTAAATAAAACAAGATGGACAAAACATTAGATTCTTGAAAGAAAACTTGAAAATGATCCCAAGACAATGAACTCACCTTTTGCTTTCTTTGGAGCTGGTACAGCTTCAAAATCTTCTAGAGTGTAGAAAAACAGCATATAAAATAATGGTCTATTTTTCCGTTTTACAAAGAGGAAATGTTGTATTTAAAGGTTTTTAAGAGTCATAAGACCCCTTATTAAACTACACACTCAGCATCTAATGTTGCCATAAACAAGAGCTTTCTGACAAAAAAGGCACGTCTCAACTTGGAGAGAGGATGCGGAGGGCGTGGATGCTGTCCTGCCATGTGATCGGCAGGCTGACAGAGGCTGGTTAGGGAAGGGCCTGTAGTGACCTCCCCACACCCTGAATATGTCTCTCCTCATCTGACTCCTAAAACTCCTTCCAAAAACCATAATCACTTTTGAAATTTAAGAAATTTGAGGTAAGTGGATTTACATATATGCAGGCTAGATAAAGAGAAAAATATCTACCTATATAATTTATTAGCAGATTGAGGGGATTTTAGCCTTTTTGACAATTCTAAAAATCCAAGAAATAAACCCATGCATATACATGGGTAAACAAATCCTTGACAAAGGTGTCAAGAATACACAATAAGGAAAAGATTGCTTTTTTCAATAAGTGGTAGTAGTAAAACGGGATATCTACATGGACAGGAGTGGAATTGGACCTTTATCTTACACCACACGAAAATCAGCTGAGAACAAATTTAAACACTTAATGTGAAACTTGAGACAATAAACCCCTAAAAGAAAATATAGGGAGAAAAGGTTATTGACATTTGTCATGGCAATGCTTTTATGAATTTGACACTGAAAGCATGGGCAACAAAAGCAAAAATAAACAAGTGGGACTGCATCAAACTAAAAAGTTTCCACACAATGACAAAAAAATGAGCTAAATGAAAAGGCAACCTAAGAAATGGGAGAAAATATTTGCAAACCATATAACTGATAGGGGATTAATACTCATAATATATAAAGAATCATTACAACTCAATGTCAAAAAACAACCTGATTAAAAAATAGAGACAGAATTCAAATAGACACTCTAAACAAGACATATATGTAAATGGCTAACAGGTAACCATAATGAGATATCACCTTCCATCTGTTAAGATGGCTATTAACAAAAAGTCAAACGATAACTGTTGGTGAGGATTTGGAGAAAAGGGAACCCTTGTACACTATTGGTAGGAATGTAAATTAGTATAACTATTATGTAAAGCAGTATGGAGGTTCCTCAAAAAATTAAAAATAGAACTACCATATGATCCAACAATTCCACTTCTGGGTATATATCAGGGAAATTGTATACTTGAAATTTTCTAAAAGAGTACATCTTAAGTGTTCTCATCACACATGCATACACAATGATGCTAACTATGTAAGGTGATGTACCTGTTAATTAGCTTGATTTTGGTAATTATTTCACAATATATAGGTATATCAAAATATCACATTGTACACCAATAATACTTACTATTTCTTAAGATTTATCACCTACTGTCTGTATTAAGTTATTTAACATGTGTTAGCACCTTCAATCCTGACAACAACCATATAAGGCAGGCATGCTTATACTGAATCACCTGTACAGTTGGAGTAGAGGGGGGTAAGTCCTGCACAAGGTCGCAGACTTAGTGAGTGGCACAGCAAGAACATGAACCCAAATCTTTTTTTTTTTTTTTTTGAGACAGAATCTCACTGTGTTGCTCGGGGTAGAGTGCCGGGGCGTCATCCTAGCTCACAGCAACCTCAAACTCCTGGGCTCAAGCAATCCTTCTGCCTCAGCCTCCCGAGTAGCTGGGACTACAGGCATGTTCCACCATGCCCAGCTAATTTTTTCTATATTTTAGTTATCTGATCAATTTTTTTCTATTCTTAGTAGAGATGGGGTCTCACTCCCGCTGAGGCTGGTCTCAAACTCCCGACCTTGAGCGATCCACCAGCCTCAGCCTCCGAGAGTGCCAGGACTACAGGTGTGAGCCACCGCGCCTGACCTGAACCCAAATCTTGAATGAGGATTTTAATTTATTCCACAAACAGTACACCTGCTATATGTTAGCCACTTTGTAAGCATTTTAAAAATAGTAGCACAATTCATCTCCTCAACAAAACCGTGAGGAAGATACCACTAGTATTCCCATTTTGTAGGTGGGACAACTGAAGACCAGAGAGACTCAGGATCCCACAGCTATAATAAGTGAAGGAATTGGGCTTCAGACTTATGCATTCTGGTTCCAGAGAATGTGCTGATAATCACCACATCATTCTGCCTCTTGAGGGTGGACTTCTAAAACCACTTCTCTCTGATTCCAGAACCCATGCATTGTATTGCCTAACACCTATCCACTGACAAGGTCTCACAGAGTCAAGTTCTGCATGAGTCACGTACTTGTGCAGAACAGAGATGAAAATGGAAGCATTCTGCCAACCCCCTTAGGATGACAGAGGATGCTAAGTATGTCCCTCTGCATGTCGACAATCTATTCTCCTTCAGTGCAGATGAATAGAAAAGTTACTTAGTTTTCTTCGAAAATGATAATGGCAATGAAAAGGCAATCACAAGATCTATTCTGTTTACCTAACCACTATAAGAAATTTAGGCATCATATTCCAAGCAATGAAGAATAAACGTGTATTATCTTGACTTTCGAATTGTAGACTCTATTCTTCACTTTCACAGGAAAAGATCCCTAAGGAAACACAGACATCAGTGAATCCATCCTCCCATCTAAAGCAGATGTCCCCACTATAACAGAATCGTGAACTGAGGGGACATGCTTTCCGTGTGGCCACCATTTCAATATTTTGAACATGCTGATGTCAAAGGACTAGGTTTTGTAAATCTTTTATATATATATTGAATTAAGGCTACAGACACAGGTGTTCTTAAATAGCTATTAGTTTATGAAAACATTAAGTGATTGTAATAGAAAGACCTGTATTTTGTTTTTATTTCTATGAAATAGCCAACATATTACAAAAGGAAGTAAACTTGCCAAAAGGAAAGATGATTATCTAAAAAAAAATAGGTTTGCTGGGCATTTAAACCAATATTAGGTCAAAATATTTAGAACACAAGAAAGTAAATGTTACTGCTTGAAAGAAAACATATACTGTTTCTCTGACACAGGAATATAAGTAAAATAATCCAAAATATAAGCAAAAACACAGACAAAGCAAAACTGGACAACTCAAAGTAAGAATTATTACAAAGAAAAAGCTTGGTTGTATTTCCACCTTATCTTATATATTTTGTGGGAATACACACAATGTCAATTATCTGTCCAATAACTAATGTTAATTTTACATTAGAAGGAAAATTATAAATTGTATTGAAATGTATAATAAAAGTGAACTTCTTGGATGTTAGGGATATGTATCAAATTTTTAAACCATATTGAAACCATCACTGCTAAATTTAGATAACTGGAATAGATTTAACACCACCATCATATACATGAAAAATAATTAACTGGAAACTTATTTTCATAGTGTTTTTCAGAGATGGTTGGAATTTCAGTTTCTTCTTCATAAAAAGGGTGCAAGTCATCATGTATACTTTGTGATGTAACCTATGTGTTTATAATATAAAAGTAAAAATTTAAACATATTTTTAAAAGTATCATTTTACAAAGTGAATATTACTTTGAAGTTTTGCTGTAATTTATGAATTGAAGAAATACTTTTTCAGTCACAATAAGAAGAACTAAAATGAGCTCTTTTTCTATGCCAAGTACTCTACTATGTACTACATTTTATGTATGTGTTTTCATTTTTAGGTCTCACAATACACCTATGAAATATGGAGAAAACCCCCATTTTATAAGAGAACTTTGAGACTCAGGGAAATCGAAAAATAACTTCTCTGAAGCAACGCATTCTAAGAAGTGTTGAGAGAAGAAATGGAACTAATTTACCTTAACTTCTAGACCTTCACTTTTTCCAATGAGCTGTTCTACTTCTACCTGCAAAGCACTTTGCTATGTTCTCTGAAGGACCCAAAAGGAAATAGGATGCTATTTAGCAGTGATCTACAATCAAGTAGAGAAAATGGACAAGTATCCAAACAAGCATAAGATACTATGAGCTATAAGATAGTATATCACAATTGCCCCCGACAAAAAAAAAAAACAAAAACAAAAAAACAAACCTGTAAGATGGTTCCAAGGGTGAAATGGTCATTCCTCTTATGTAGATCAAATAAGTTTTTAATGAAAGCTGTCCCACTACCAGTGGAATTTGAGAGATCATAGGGAATTGGATAATCAGAAATAGGAAGAATAGTTCAGGAAAAGAGGAGTCTTCTTCACAGTACCAAAGTTTAGGATACAGGAATATTAAGAACATGGAACATTCATTGTAGGTTAAAACCTACAATGGGTATAGAAAATGATGAAACAAAAAAAAAATATTTAAAATGTAGTTTAGGGCCGGATCATAAAGGCTCTAGACTCCTGGACTAGGAAATTTAGAATTTATTCTCAATTTTCAATGCATATTTTGAACACATCTCATACAAATGGTCTAATCAATTTGAAATTTTGGAAAACTTAATCTGTTAGTGGAAACAAAACAGAAGGATGACAGAAATAAGAAACAGGCCTATTGCGGAGTGACTACCATGGTTCAGAGGAGAAATAGTAAAAACCAACATGACTTGCAACTGCATTAGGGTCAGAGACAAGGAATGGTGATTAGTCAAAGTAGAATTTGAAGTTTTATGTCTAAGTAACTAAAGAGTGAAAATCAAGTAGCAATAGGAGAAGCACCCTTTGTAATTTAAAGGAGATGGAGGGATAAGTTAAAGAAGAAGGGTATGAAGAAAGGTCAGTCATTAACTTGTATGAACAAAGAGTGAAGTTGGGAGTTGAAAGTGTGGGACCAGAGCTGAAAAAATAGCTTAGGCTTCAAAAGAATTTTGGGTCTTTCCACAAAGAGCTAGATAACAGTGTAGACAAAAAGGCTGAATCGTCAGGCTGAGTAAGAGTGCAGAAGAGTAGGAAAGAGAGATGAGGATGGAAGAATTCAACCCATTAGCAGCAGAAACTAATACCAAGAAACA